ACCCCTCTGTCCATCCCCCCACCCCCTTGTCCCCTCTTGTGTCCATTTACCTCCACTCTCCCCCCATTTTACCCTCCCCATTCCAATTAATAAATCTCAGTTATTCTAAGTGATATTGATATTAATAATAAAGTTTGTTATGGTCACTGGAGCTGCTATTGCTTGCTTTATATTATATGTTAATAAGCTGCTGGTGGAAGGAACTAATTGATGTCCTGGAGGTGTATTGGGTATATAAGTGACCCCCTGGGTAGTGTGATGTGTTCTTTATGCACCACCCCCATCCTGAATTCACCCACTCCCACCTTTCTGACCCCTCTGCCCATCCCCACATGCCCTTAACCCTTCTTGTGATCCACTTGATTCCATTCTCCGCCATTTTCCCTCCCCACTCTAATCAATAAGTCTTGATTACTTCAGGTAATATTGATATTAATAATGAAGTTTGTTATGTCACTGGAGTTGCTATTGATGATGTTGTTATTATATATGTTAATGTTTTACAACTGGAATAATATGACTTTCTGGGGTATTCCAGGTTTGTCACTGATATTAGGTTGTGTGATAGATGTGTGCTTTATACACCATGCCCATCCCAAAGTCGCCCCCTCCCACCTTTATGACCCCTCTGCCCATTCCCACATCCCCTCTTGTGATCCATCTGCCTTCCTCCCCCATTTTACCCTCCCCAGTGTAATTAATAAATCTCATTATTCTAAGTAATATTAGTAATAAAGTTTGTCATGTCACTAGAGTTGCTATTAATTGGTTGCTTTTTTATATGTTAATGAAGTGTTGGTGGGATAAATTAATTGATTCCCTGGAGGTGTTTTGGGTATATAAGTGACCCTGGGTTGTTTGATTGATGTGTTCTTTATACACCACCCTGATCCCAAATTCACTATCTCCCACCCCCCCATCCCCTCTTCCCACCCTCCTAGTGCTCCCTTAGTCCTTCCTCCCACTCTCCACCCTCCCCAGTGCCCACCCTCCCTATTATTAATAAATTTCAATTATTCCAAGTCATACTCGGATTAGAAGATAAATGTTATTTTGTCACCAGAGTCACTGTTAATTGGTTGATTTATTTTATATGATGGCTTTTGCAGCTGGAATATATACTTGGTTTCCTGAAGTGTTCTTGATATGTCATTGATATTGAGTGGTGTTATTGACATGTTCTTCATACACCATCTCCCTCCCAAATGCACCCCACTCCCACCCTCTCACTCTCCCCCTGCCCACTGTGACCTTTTTCCCCCTCCCCATCTCCCCACCTCGTGCCCTGAAGGAAGACGCTGAAATGATCAGGACACAGTTTGCACTTAACCACTAAATCTTTATTGAATTTTTATTAGAACATCAATGCAATATTAGTCAATACAGAGAAATATAGAGTAAAGAGAATACAATAATAGTTTGAAGGAAGGGTAGGGGTTGGGAGGTGGGGCAGGGTAAGGAGGAGGGGCAGGGTTAGGGTGAAGGGGTGGGGTAAGGAGGAGGGCTACTGACAGGGGCAAAATCAAGGGTTTATTCATCACTTTCTTTCAAATTTCATGAATATTAACCACATCATCATCATCAATTTCATTTTAGCAACAAACTCTCAAGGGGCACCTATCTTTCCACAAATTGATCCCTTAAGTTAATACCCAGGGCCTTTATGAAATTAATCCAATCACATGTGAACTTTTACTAACATTTAATCCATGTCCAATTCATTCTGAATAGATTGATCTCCCTGCAGTTCCCTCTGAATTTATTTGAAATCATTAGGGGTAAGAGGTATGGGGTAAAGGGTCATAAGTAAGTACACGTGTCCACTTAGCAATATCTAATACATAATCTTATCCTAACTTATCCTAAATAGTCCCACCCACTTAAGATTTCTTAATAGTCCCTCCCATCCTAAAATACTATGATTATATATCCCCTACTACTTAAACTGATTACATAAAGAAATAAAAACAATGCAGAATTCCACAGACCAATTTAACAGCGTTCTACAATCTGAAACAACAAAGAACTTTCAGTCCCATCAGACACGTGATCTCTTAGATGAAAATGTCACATGGTTCTTCTTTTCCTCTGGTGGTCCTTCACTGCTGCTCAGGTCTTTCCAGCAGGATGTTCTCTGCTGCCATCTTGGAATGGGATCTGATGTGAGATGTCTGTGGTGGGTGATGACTGGATCAATTCAGGAGTCCAAGAGGTACCTACAAACTTAAACAAAATTCCAGACTGCACCATTTAGATGTGTCCATCTTATTTTGTGCACCTGCAAGTTCACTGTATGTCTTCCCATGATTGAATCAAATACATCATCGCTCAAACTGAATTGACCCTTTATAAATGTATGTAAACCTTCTCTATTTCAATATCCTAATATGATGACCATACTTACTTATCTTCAGGCTTGACTCGCAATGGGAGCTCTTAGATCTTCTTCCTTGATTTAATTAATGAAGAATGCAAATTCTGATGTTTTATTTATCTATCTCCTTCCTGTTTTTATTTTGCTCCCTTTCTAACTTCTTGTCTCTTCCTTATGAATAAAGGCATTTTTGTTGGAAATGCCAAAAGAAAGTTTTAAAGTATCCAATTAACATAAATTTGATCAACAGAAACAAAATAAATCAATTGAGAAAGGAAACTTATCAAACTGAAAAAGGAAACTTACCAAATTAAGAAAGGAAACTTACCAAATTGAGAAAGGAAACTTACCAAATTGAGAAAGGAAACTTAACTAAATTTCAATACTATAGAGCAATAAATGTAAGATTACTTATCCTTAACACCTAAAAGATAGTATAGATAGGAGTAGAGCATAGTACACACTGCCAAAAAGTCAATCACAAGCTTTAGTAAACAGTCCGACGTGTCAGGGATTTTGTGAGTGGTGAACCCACGCCAGCATGCTCTCCCTGATCGTTTTGCTGTTGGCCAGGCTTCTGCTTGCAATGGTGGCAAATGTCCGTGTGCACATGCCAGGGCTGCAGAAAATGACCCATTTCTAGGCACTCTGCAGCTTGAAGATCAATTGAAAACTGTAAATTTGACACACAGCAATTTGAATTCAAATGTATGGAAGATGGATTGAGATTTGAGGTAAACGGAAGTAACGCTTCACAATAGTCCAGAAGCACAAATGCACCATTTTAAAAATACTCTAAAACACACAAGTGATTGACAAGCTTTCTGATTCCATTGAAGAAAATAAGGAAAAGTTGTTTTAGACTAAATAGCCAATTAGGTTTTTCTTTTGTGCAATTTAAAAAGTCCAATAAATTGAAGATTTGTTATAAATACTCCAGTTCTGAGGAGCCTCTCATTCACAGTATTGTAAGAAGTTCACAGTAAAGAGATATCTTACGCTATGTTTTTTAAAATTTGTACTTAATTTAACAATAAGAATTGAATAGTACTTTGTCATTCAATGGAAACTTTTGAAAGCATAGCCAACACTTTAAAACACTGTTAAAGAACACTACTATAGATAGAAGTTTTAAGTATTTAAACATGCAAGGATAAGGGGTGGGGGATAATAATGAATATATGAAAGATGAGGCTGATGAAAAGGAAACTTCACCATTAAGACTCCTCTTCAGGCAATTTGGAATATAAATCCTGTAGCAGGGTTAATGGCAGTAGTAGAGAATTAAACAGAAAGAGAGGTTAGACAAGTGGTTCAAGGTAGTAGCAAGGGACTAGGTTAAAGAAGTCAGGCAGTCCTAGGTTAGCACAAAGAGTCCAGGAGACACCAGAGGTGTCACTGGATTGAAGACAACTCTTGTGTTGTCAGTTGCTTTGTGAGGCCTTTCATCCATTGGCAGCTTGATTCTTTCGAGGTGATTACCCTCAGGTCATCTTCTCATTAAAGAAGTCCATATCCTCAAGACAGTGCCCAGTGCTCTAATTCCTCTTCCCTCCCATACACAGGAGTGTGGGTCTGGGTGCAAAATCATTTCCCCTCTCCAATCATCCTAATGCTACAGTCTAATGAGGGGACTGATGATGGAATGCCCAGATGCAAATGGAGGCAGAGACGTAGACAGATGCTTCCCAAACTTCAACTGGTGTTTTTCCAGCCAATTAACAACATTCGTGAGAATTCTTTCTGAAGTCCCAGCACAAGTTGGTAACAATTAACTCAGAGCCTCTTTTAAGAGTTGGGTACGGGATTTAGGAGTCCTTTGATTTGCTGATCTTTAGCCCTCACGCATGATTGAGAGGTGGTCACAACATTTCACAGACACCTAACACACCTGGAGCCATTACTGGCATGATGATGGTAAGATGTTGTGTCAAAGCCAGAGTTCTTGGGTACACGTGATTTGCACCAGGATATGAAGGCACACTCTTAACATGCAAGAGTCTGTCTGAGAGCACTTTCTTTTCAGGCCTGAGGTGTTACATGTCGCAGGGGTGTTTGCCTGCTTCTGGGAGAACCAGTCGACTTGCTGCTCCTTGAGAATTAACGGAACCATGAAAGTGGAGTTTGAAGATGGTGAAGTTTCTAAGGGTGCAGCAAGAGGATCACGGAAGCCTTTCAACACTGCACCAAAAACTGTGGCTTCCTTTATAAGGCTTCGGTCCTCCAGTGAGTCCCGAAGCTGCAAGAAGGGTCATGTCCTCCTCCTCCTTGTCTCCCCCTCCCTTAAGAAATCAGCATTTCCTGTGTTTGCATCAGCTTCTCTGTAAAGAAATTTGGCAGCCATTAATTTAGATGGTGACAGAGGTTTCAGACTTCTTTGGAAAGTAAACTTTTTAATTGGCAGTCAAGGTAAAAAACTGAGATAATTTCTTGGTAAATATTATTTTGAAGGTCTTCTGGTGCTTTAAGATGTGTGCCAGTTCAGGGTGGCCCTGACCTTCTGTAGCCTTTCAGAGAAGATGTGGCTTGAAGATACAGTGGCTCAATTTAGCACACAGTCACTGATTGAGAAGCTACACAGGAATAATCTTTGAGGGAAGAGATCTTGAAGGGACATGACAGGAATTCACATGGTACTGTAAGATGGAGGCGGCGGTGGCGGCGGCGGCGGCGGCGGCGGCTGCGGTGGCGGATACTGCGGCACCGGAGGCTGGCGGTACCAATGTGGATTCCAAGTGATCATAACAGGTACATAGAGAGATCTTCCTTGACCATCTCGTCCCACTGGGTACCACGCAAATCCTACTGGGTAGGTCGGGTACGTGGTGTATGTGGGGTACGACTGGTATCCAGGTACTTGAGGAATATATTCGGTGTAGGTTGCCAGGTGTGCTTGGTCTTCCAAATTAGGAATAGATAGGCGAGGATACTGATTCTGGATGGTGAAATGGTTTGGAGCTCGGCAATCATAAGAAACTTGCAGTTTCCACCCCCTCTTGACTTGGAGAACTTGGGCTCCGTTTGGTGCAATGGTTGGGGTAATGAGGCCATCCTTCACATTTCTCGCCACGAAATCTCGGAGAGCTGCCATTTCAGGTTCAGACAGGGAGTACACGTGCCCACTGGGAATGCTGTGCGCTCCAGGTATCATCTCTATGTTGGGGTCAACCAGACGGTGATCTGGGTAGACGTGCTCATCAACTGGAGTGTACACATTCTGGACGTAGTAATACCTCACTGGTTGGTAAACTCTGTATCCGTCGACTGGGTAGTAGAGTGACGGGTGTGGTGCTGGTGGTGGGAGCGAGGGAGGTATTGGAGTGTACATCCGGCAGTGGTATCGGCAGTATTCGGAGTCGAAGACGATGGATCGAGTGCTCCAAGTGATGTTGGGGTCATGTGTGCTCAGCCAGCGAACCCCCAGGACGACAGGAAAGAACGGAGACTGAGTCACATCAAATGACAGCACCTCGCGGTGATCTCCCAGGTCAACAATCAGGTTGTGAGTTTCGTGGACAACTGGGCCCGATGCGATGGGGCGCCCATCAATTGCTTCCACGAGTATTGGCCAGTCCTTGACTCTTATAGGAATTCCATTTTGAGCAACGTATTCGTGATCAATGAAGTTTCCAGAAGCACCAGAATCGATCATGGCTCGGACGAACAGGGTGTGTCTGCCCGGAAGATGGATCTGGAGCATCACTTGCAGGTGTGGAGATGAAGCATCATCTGGTGGGGACCTTATTAATTCCGGCCCGGTCGCTGAAGGTCCCTCTACAGCGGGGCCGGGGAGTTTCCCGCCGGTGAAGACTTTGAGGCCTTGGCAGGACAGTTGTCGGCGTAGTGACCTCCGTTTCCACAGTAGAGGCAGAGGTTCAGCTTACGGCGTCTTTCCTTTTCTTCCTGGGTCAGGCGCATGCGGGCACCTCCCACGGGCTCGGTGGGATCTACCTGGTGGTGGCTTGACACGTGAGGCATCACCAGCGCCCGGGGTGGGGAGCGTGGCTTGCGAGCAGCAGCAGCTCTGGCCAGCCTTCTCTCAATGTGAATGCACTGGCCGATCAACGCCGACAGCGACTTGGGGGCCTCGAGGTGGGAGAGCTCTTCCTGAATGTGGTCGCTGAGACCCTCGTGGTACTGGTCAATCAGGGCAGGTTCATTCCAATCCAGGTCCTGGGCAATCATCTGGAAAGCGTTGGAATAGTCGATGACAGAGCCCATGCCCTGGCGCAGACGTCTGATCTTGCGTTTGGCGGCCTCTCGTCTCTGAGGGTCTTCAAAGACATGCTTCATTTCCATCATGAAGGCGGGGTAGTTGTGCATCAGGTAGTGGGATCGCTCCAGTTTGGCAGAGGCCCAACGGGCAGCACGGCCGGTCATCATGCTTGTCACGAAGCAAACACGGACACGATCAATTGAGAAATCTCTGGTGCTTTTTTCCATGAAGACTTGGCACTGGGACATGAAAGGAGCCAGCATGTCGGGGTTGCCATCAAACTTCTCTGGCAGGTCTTCTGGGCACTCTTCCTCAATTGGAGCGGGTGGGGCAGCAGCCGCTGCAGCACCTTGGAGCTCAATGTCGTCTTCATCATCCTCAGGGACTGGTTCCACTTGCTCACGGAGAGTGGTATTCTCCTCTGTGAGCTTCTGCACCTGGTTCTGCAGGTTGTTGTTTTCCTCGGACTGCCTGATGACCTTCTCTCTCAGGTTGTTGATCTCTTCGGAGAGCTCATCCCTCCTGCGTTCCGTCATGTTTGGGACGCAGGGGCTCTTGTGGCCGCTGGGCTTGTTGTTGTTGTTGTTGTTGGGGGGAGGGGGAGGGGGAGGCGGTGGGCAGTCGGGACCCAGGGTGACGGTTGGTGTGGGAGGAGACCTCCCAGGTGTTGCTTCACTTCTGTGGGGGTGGAGGCCTGGATCCTGGCCCCCTCTTGCACCCCTTCTTCTCTTTGTTTTCAAAACCCGCTTATTTCTGTAAATGAAGATAAGAGTATACATTCAACATATATATCTAAAGGGGCATAATGCAAAGAAGGTTTAGTATTTAATGCACCTCTCTGATCTACTTGCTCATATTAATAATTAGCCAACAAAGAAAACACATCCTCAAAAGAAAAGCAAATGAAGTCATCAATCAGGACAACAAATAATGAAAGCACTCTTCTTTCTCTGATGCTCAAATGACCTTTTCTTCCTCAAAAATCACCTTTTCATTTTGATTCATCAATATGCAAACTTTAACATCACTATGCTCACCTTTATAGGCTATAAAGAATGCTAAGACACAGAACATAAGTAATTTTGTATGGAGGGAATGAAGCAAGAAACTTTTAGGCAAAGATAGATACCAAATAAATTATGCAAAACAATTCCAAAATAACTTTTGCAATTAAAGAAATTAGGTGTAAACCAGCTAATATCCCAATTAAACAACAACAACTAAAACAACCACACAACAAGAGAGATGCCTGCATTTATCAGCTCTGAAAAAGAACACATGCCAATTGTCATGACCTCTGTCCACTTCTACAGAGAACATAATTGATTATCAAATCAAACAACCACCACCACCACAAAAAACACAAGACTGTCTAATTACTTTTCTGACCATAATTTAACTTCCCAAAGAGAACTCTCTTTGGGTCAGAAATGGCACTTAAAGCAACATGTATATGTCAGTTTCCTTCCTCATTACGTAGTCATTCAACAAATATTAATTGATGCCTCCTAACAAGAACTAGGCTAGAAAATGAGACTTTTTTCCAAAGATGACCAATAATAGTTAATTATGACTTAATTATAATAGTTATTTATTAAAATTCAATTTAATTATATCATGCAGATAAACCACATAGCAAATGTTCAACAACTGTCTGTTGGCACTAATAAGGTTATTAATTAGAAAACAGAAAGGTAACTTTCTGTTTAAATAGGGAGAGGCTGCAACTATAGTGACCTGGGCACCCATTTACATACTAAAGCTATTCTTTTGTTTGTTTGTCCCCCCCCCCCCCCCCCTTAAATACTGTGTTGGTCAAACAACTCCAGGACTTTATTGATCCTTCAGGTCATCAGTTTGCAATTCCTGGTTCTTAATCAAGATTTGTCACCATAGCCCCACCCCAAAGGTTTGTAATATTCAGGTGAGACAAAGCTATACTCAGGGCTGGGGGGTCTGGGGGTTGGGGTTGGTAGGTGGGGGTGTAGGAGTTAGAAGGTGGGGGGTAGGGAGTGGGGGGTAGGGAGTGGAAGGTGGGGGATAGGGGGTAGAAGGTAGGGGGTAGGGAGTTGGGGTAGGGAGAGGAAGGTGGGGGATAGGGAGTAAAAGGTAGGGGGTAGGGAGTGGGGGTTTGGGAGTAGAAGGTGGGGGATGGGGGTAGAGAGTGGAAGGTGGGGGATAGAGGGTAGAAGGGGGAGGGGGGAGGGGGTGAAAGGTGGGGGTAAGGGTGGAAGGTAGAGTTGGGTGGGTAGGGGGGTAGGGTGAATGGATGTGTCTGGAGGTGGTATAAGAGAATTAAATGTTCTAATTATGAGTGTGATGTTAATAAATCACACAATAAGTCATAATAAAGTGTCTTCCTGAAAAATAGTGTTAAGTGCATTTAGAGTGATTTAATCATTTAAAATTTCAATAATTTCAAATCCCAAATCTGGAAAATTTAAATACATAAGAAGTTTAAAACTTAATATATAGTATATGAAAGTTTAAAAAGTTTTTAAAACTTTAGAAAGTTTAATAAGTTTTTAGAAGTTTAACTTTTTTAACTTGAAAAGTTTACAACTTCGAGAAGTTCTGAAAGTTTTAAAAGTTCAAAACTTTAAAAAAGTTCAGTTTTTAAAAAGGTTTTAAACTTTTTAAAGTTTAAGAAAAGTTTTAAACAGTATAAAAGTTTTCAAAAAATATTTAAATTTAGTTAAAAATGTTTAAAACACTTTGTAGTTTAAAAGTTCAAAACTTTTAAGTAAACAAAACTTTTAAACCATAACTTGTTTCTCTCTGACCTATCAAAGCAAAAGTGGTTATTAAATAAATTACATAAAGTTAAAAAAATGTTAATTAAAGAAGTTAAGTGGAAAATAACTAATATTTCAACCTCTAGGGTATAAGATAAAAGGGGATATGGTAATAAATCACTCATGAGCCCCCCCCTTTCCTAATACCCCTCTTATCCCCTATACCACCTCATTTTCCCCTGCATTCTTTGCTGTTGATATGGCCTCTCCAAGATGTGGCAATAGAGCAAGCAAGGTCCTTAAGGGACAAGTGTTAGTGTGTAATTTTAATAATTTTAACTTAATTACTTTAGTAACTTAGGCTACAAACACAATGAATAATTGACATTCAAGATAATATATTATCAAGCTTACAAAAATTAGAAGACACAACAAACACATCATAACTTGTAATGTTCAGTCTCATGTCCAGCTCTTTAAAAACAATAGGATAGGTAACAATGGCAATGCAAAGCACAATATAATACAATTTTTATTTATTAAATTAAGAATTTTAATGTCTCATTAAAAAACAACTAATAAACAAAGGTCAGGTGACTAAGGTGTCACTTAGCTTGTGTGCACATTTTAATCAAAACAGACAAGGCTTCCTACAGGGCAGTCACAGCATGGCCTAGTGCAGCTTGACACAGGTCAGGAAGGTTAATCTACGTGTCAATAACAGATACTGGGGTAGGCTATATTTAAGCTGAAGTTTGATGATTTTACCATCTATAAAAAAAATGATGGGACAGAAATTACATTGGGAAATCATCAAATAATATACTGTTTAGGGAAACAAAATCAACAAGAATTAAAAATTCAAATGCCTTCATTATACAGAAAGGTAATTTACAAGTGAGGAGACTGGAGTTAAGATCACAGGGAGAGGCTACAATTATCTATTTGGGGAATGCATGCCCCTTCCTCTGCCCCCCTCCAGACATTACATTTTGTTTGTTTGAATAGCACTAATATATATCCATATAAAATTGAGGCCTTATTTGGCTTGCAAAGTCACCAGTTTAAGACCTCTGACCTTTACCAGTGTTAGGACTCAAGCCCCCACTGGGGTTTGCAATTTTGGGGTGGGACTCTTAAGACCAAAGCAAAGTAGTTAACCCATTAAAAGTTAACAGAATAGTGGGCAAGCAGGTTAATACTAAATTTAAGTAAATTACAAAAATGTTTAACAGCACCAGGTACAGTGCAAGTTCACAGGATGCAAGGAGCATTTCAACTTGATTTGACTAATAAAACTCTGGCTCCTTAAAGTCCCTCTTATAGGGACTGGATTGGAGAGGTGGGGTCAAGAGGTCCCATTCTTGAAAACTGAGAGGTCACACTGCAAAACGCCAAGCTGCCTGGGACAGAAGTCATAATAAATACTTCAGTTTTAGTCTACTTAGTAATTAAGTACATTTGATTAATTATCAACTTTTCACAATGACTTCTAGAAACTTATTCCCCAAATCCACCAAAGAGCAAGAGTAGCCAAACAACAACAACAACAACAAAACCCCCATACATATACATCCCATTAGTAAATGAAACACCATTAAGCAACTCTTAATTGTTTTAAATTTTCAAAATGTCCAATTTTTTAAAGTATTATGTGCATCACTTGTAAAATTCAAGTTCTATTAATATGCACCTTTTTAAAACCAATGTTTTGAACCTCTTTAATATGCAGACACAGAATTCCCAAAGAAGCAACAGACTTAAAGCTGTAATTATATGCACATATTTTCCATAGATTGTATATTTTTAAGGGGCCAGGGAATTGGGGGGGGGGGGTGATAGACTTTTGGAAGCCAAAAAACTTCCATTTCTCCCCTTAAAAAAACTCCTGGCTCATAGTTTGTAATATAGAGAACCAGGTTTTTAATTTCTTCATTAATTAGAATATTTTTACATGGTACATTTGACTGGCAATAAGTAATACAGATGTTTAATTATGCCAGTTGAAACAGTCTATATTTTGTAACTATTTTATGTTTCATTACACAAATTTTAAATGTCAATGTATAGCATTAATAACCTATTTGCCCAAAATTTAAATAATTAGTTTTTTATGAAAAAAACTAATTACTTAGGATAACAAATAATTGGCTTTTTATGAAAAAAGCCAATTACTTGGGATAACAAATAATTAGCTTTTTATGAAAAAAGCCAATTACTTGGGATAACAAATAATTAGCTTTTTATGAAAAAAGCCAATTACTTGGAATATTAAATAATTAGCTTTTTATGAAAAAAGCTAATTATTTGGAATAATTTAAATTAATTTAGTGTCTTTATAATTACAGCTTACATTATTAATGTTCAAAAATGCATTTTTTTTTTAAGAAACTCTTAGATATGTGAAGGTACAACCCAGGACAACAAAGCACCAAAGCAGAATAAGAAAACAGAAAAGACCTGCAATACTAAGCAAGAAGACAAATAAACCAATTTACTCTGGTCATTTAACACATGTTAATGAATGCCTACCACGTGCCAGGCATAATTTATTGTATGTAGGCAGGTTAGCCAGGGCTAATCCCTTAGTTTCCAATGGGGAAAATAAACCCCAGTTTCATAGACACACACACACTTCATCCTTGCTCAAAGGCCAAACCAGCAGCACCAATGTGCCACTTAAAACTCCTATGAAACAAACACCGCCCAAATTGTTCCTTGTTTTGTATTCACCAAAGCATTCAATTCCAGTAGGTCCACTAGTGTCTTTTAAAAAAAAGGTAATGTGAAAATACTTTTTAATTTTATTTTTTTAATTTATAATAAAAACATTTGGCTAAATTGCCTTTAGAGTGTGCACAGCCAAGTCAGCTTAGACATTCCCATCATAAATATCAGTTTAAATTGTAAGATTGTTATTTAATATATGCAAAACACTTATAAAAAGTGTTTGCAAATGCCAGGTATAATTGTTGTTAATTGTTCTTATTTATTATTCTTGTACTTATTAGATACTAGTGGACAAAAAGCAAAACCGCGCAGCAGAGAAACCGCAGGGGGGCGGGTCTGTGCAGCCAGGCTCAGGCAATGAAGGCGCGCAGGCGCATAGGACAAGGCCTAATGGGAGGGACGGGGGCTCACACTGCGCAAGCGCAGGAAGGCTCTGCTGAAGGCGGGGCTGTAAGGCCAGCTCAGAGGAGGCAGTCTCAGGGTGGAGCCAAGCTTTGGAGAGGCGGGGTCTGGGCAGGCCACCTCAGAGGAGGGGCCTCAGGGA